TAATGATGTTGTATGAGTGTAAATCTTTCAAGTGTTTATTAGATTACATTCACACATATAAGGTAAACATGTGACGATTGTAAGAATTTACTGTTTATAAATATTAATTATCAGTGTTTGATCATTAAAAATAAATATTACTAGCAATTGATTTTATTGCCTAAAGACTTAATATCAATGGTGAACTTGGTATTTTGGTGAGTGCATTTTTTTTATTATCTATAAACTAATATAATTTATATATTTGCAAAATAAGTTAGATTTTAATTCTCAAAAGTTCTAACTTTTATGAATAAAATATGAACATTATGATTTTTGGATATATACCTTACATAATGATAGAGAAACTCAAATTCTCTCACAATTTAGTATATTTAAAGTGAGACTCAAGTTTAAAAGTGAGTACATTCCAAATTACACATTTCTATAATCTTAAAGTTTCACAATTCAGAGACATTAGAAGTGTTATTTAAGATGACTTAAATATTATCATATTATTTTTGCTTAAAATCTAGTGCTTCTAAAGCAATAAAACGAAAGACAAACTCTCATTGGAGTAAGATTATTAAACAAAGAAAATATTATATGCATATTATGAAACTATTCAAACTTGCTAAAATGTTATAGTTTCGTCAATTAGGTGACCTTGTCAAAAATTTAGCATATGATATTCTCTTTGCAAAATTAAGTTTATAACTATTAAAGTTAGAAATTATTCTTTAATAGAATAATTTCATAAAGTGTGCAATAAAGGAAAGATTGAATTAAGAGAAAATAAAATATTGCTTATTTGATAAATATCTCAAAGGATAAAGACAAATAAAGAATAATAAGAAAACAAGATCTGAACTGACAAATGTTCAATGGTGTTGAAAAGATACGTCAATTAAGGGGGATAAATTTGGTGAATATTGATATTTTTTATTTACTTTTAACTATTTTAGATTGTCATTATAAGCTTAAATTTGTATTTGAAATACAATTTAGTGGATGAATAAAGTTTTATTTTAATATTATAACTTTTTTTTCTTTTTTTTTAAAATGATGGATTCAATTTGTCTTTTAAGTTCAAATATTATTATAGTTAATTCAGTCGTGACTTGTGACAATCTAGAATTGTTAAAAAATTTGAGAAATATAAACTTTAGTCCCAAATTAAAGAATATTTTGAGACAAATATTATAATGTATCTCGAGAATATTGAGTTTGAGGGAGAGATATGTTCAAAGAATAAAATTGTGTGAGAAAGAATTGTTTCTAACTCAATTCATATAGTTGCTATTTATAAAGCAAATTTGGATCCTCATGCAGATATTATTGTTCTTTCTCTCAATTAAAATAAAAAATTAATCCTTGAAGATCAAACTCAACATTCTCAAGAACTAGAGCATCAAGTGTCATAAAGAGTTGACTGAAAAGATAAATTATATTCAGTATGATTAAAAGACTCTATTATGATAGTTGTGACATTTGGTACTTGTTATAATTTTGGAGCTTCGTAAGATGGATATCGAGTTACTGTTTCTTAATGGCGACATTAAGAAAAACAATTTGGTGCAACGTGATAAAAATTTGTATCAATAGATACAAAGTTTATGGTTTCCAAACAGATAAAATCTATTTGTAAGTTAATGAAATTGCCTCATTAGTGATATCGCGATATTTCATATAGTAGTTGTCTTGTTTGGTTTTGAGATTTTTATTATGAAAAATTATTGGATTTTACAAGTTCAGTGGGAGTGAGTTTATATTCCTAGTTTAATGCGTCGATTTTATTTAGTCAACAATGATATATGGTTGTTGTGTGAAACCAAGAAATCTCTAACAATTATGAAAAATCTTGGGCACATCTCTTTTGCATTAGGTAATTAGATACTTAGAGATTATTCTAAAGGTATCATCCGATTATCACAATATATATATATATATATATATATATATATATATATATATATATATATATATATATATATATATATATATATATATATATATATATATATATATATATATATATATATATATATATATATATATATATATATAAAGTTGGAAATAAAACTGACATGAAAGACAATAAACTGATATATGTCTTAATTATCAAGAGATATTATTAAGTCTCAATCATTGTCCAAAATAAAAGAATCTGAAAATTTAGAAATTTAAGCTTTTTATACTTTGGTTGTGGGAGTCTTATATATCATTTCATATGTATATGGAAAGACGTACATAAAATCATTAAGTAGATACTTGAACAATTCAAAATTGAATTGTTGGGAAAAAAAAGGTCAACCATGAGAATTATTGTAGAGAACAAAAGAGTTTATGCTCACAAATTGGAGATTAGACAATGAGGAGATCATTAGTATGTTTGACTCTAATATTTTAGATGTCAAATAGACATTTTAATACAAAATAAATAAAGGTAAGTATTTATGTCATTCAATTACAATTCAATATAAGGCTTTGAAAAAATCACTCAAGTTATATTTTGTTGTAAGACAATCATATATTATTTCAACAATAGGTTTTAAAAGTTCATTGATTTATAAGTTATTATTGTTGAAACTAGAATATATGCATATGAAAGTTAAAGTAAAGACTCACTAATCAAATATATAAGGACTTTCATATGATTATTGTCACTAAGGATGTCTTAGATTAGTGGGAGGCACCCCTTCTTTATGTTTAATAATATTATTTTGACATCGATACATAATTTATGTTAAGATTATCTGCAGAAATAATGTTTATAAAGTATTTATGTTATAACCATTTATGTATCATTTGTGTAAATATTGAATTTGTAAACTTTAGTTTGATCTTAATAAAGACTTCAGTTGGATCAGTTGGAAATATACATGATTTAGATATCACATTGCATGAAATTTCTATGTCACTCATCTGTATCGATCTATGTCATCAAGTACATTTATGTGGTGGTCGTCGGGGTTCCGTCACGTTATACGTTAGTAACGACAACCACACTGGTTTCATTATTGATGTATGAGGTGGATCAGATTATAAAGTTAAAATCTAAAGATAAATAACATTTGGATGCGCGCCTAAGGAATTGTGATATAATTATTAAAATATATTGGCCAAGTGGGAGAATGTTGGAACATTTTAATAATATAGTCTTATATTAGTATTCCAATAATCATTTGGCCGAATATATTTATTTAATTATATTAGATATTTTATCAAATAAAGTGCCTTAAATAATTATGTGATCAAATAATGTTAAAAAATTATTTAAATTTTATTTAGGAATTATTTAATTAATTAATTGGGTATGGACTCAAATATGAGTGAATGTTAGGATGATCCATTTGGGAATAATGAGAACCCTTAATTGACCATCATACTATATAAAGGTTATAGTCTCCAATATATTGTACACAAGCAAAATAATCTCTTTTCCCCATCTGATGAGTGTTCAAAACATTAGGAGTACCGATTGAGAAAGATCCACAAACTAACTAGCTAGTGTTGGTCACTTGTCTCTATACTTTTGCGTTTCCGGATTATAGTTATCATTGCTAAAAAAAAAATTTATCTTATGAATCTAGATATTACTAAAATCTCATATCTCGTATACTAATATGTCGTAGATCCTATGGTTATATACATGTTCATAATTATTTATTATATTCTACATTAAAGTATATGGTATAATATATAGAACATGTATATGTGATTAATTGTTATTGAATTAATTTCAATATATAATGGATAATATATTGTTGTATATAACTTTTTGAAAAAAAAATATTGTAAACCGTACAACTGAATCAAACCAATTAGTTTAATTCGATTTTATTATTGAAAACATTAAAAATCGAATCAAACTAAATCGATAGAGATATCACCGATTCAAAGCTCTTTTTAAACAAAAACTTATTCAAACCAAATCAATTACAATGTAGTTGTGACAAAGAAATTTACAGTCTAGTTGTGACAAAGAAATTTGTGACTCTCATCTAAATTTGAAAGCACAGATCGCGGAAATTAGATATGTAACCCTCGTCTAAATTTCACAGTAGAGATTGCGAAAAAGAAATATGTGACTCTAGCATCTTGTTGTCCCTTTGATTTTTCACATAATGGACAAAATTATGGATGATGACAGATAAATATAGCCGTGTATGACACTACTCTTATACTACTAGTTGCTGTCTTTGACTTTGTTTGACTCAAATATTTTGTTTTAGTTGATTTTATAAAGGCAAAATATATTTTTATAACCATGCAAAATGAATTTATTTTAGGTTACACTTAAAGAATTGTAAATAATTTACTTAATTGTCAATATAAATGAATCACACGAATAAATTTGTAAAATTAGTTTGCAGATGTTATTTGCAAATTTATTCATGTGATTTATTTTTTATTAGTTTTTAGATGAATAATCTAAACAAATTCAAAGATAAGTAATATACTCGTACGTACATGTAGGGGTGTTCGTGGTGCAGTTTGAACAGTTTTGAAGCAAAAAATCACCCGAACCGCAAGAGAAAAAAATATGTGGTTTAGTTCGGTTGGATTTTAAAAATAAAACCGAACTAAATCAAACTAAACTAATGCGGTTTAGATTGATTCGGTTGGTGCGGTTCTTTTATAAAAAAAAACATTTAACCATACATACACATATATAGAAAAATATAATTTTGTTTTTAATCATTCATACATTACCATAAAAAAATTTTAATTGTCAAAATAAGTTTATAATTTGTTACATAAAATTGTGTATTATAGTTTTATCTAAATCTAAAGAATGATATACATAAGATTGCATTCTTAAATAAATATTATATAAAGAATACGATAAAAATATATTTTATGATAATAGTATTTATAAATAAATAATATTTCATTTTTTATGATTTGTAAGTTAAAATACATAGCATACAAAGAATATGATAAAATATACACATAATACATGTTGATTTCTCTAAATAATTAAAGAAATATATTGGTTAATAAGATTTAATAACATAATGCGGTTTAGTTCGGTTCGGTTTACAAAATACAAACCGCAAACCAAACCAAACCACGCAATTCCATTAGAAAATGATCCAAACACATCCGAACCAAATACAGTTTTTTGCGGTTTCGATTTAGTTCGGTTCGGTTTTACGGTTTTTTGTTGGGCCGGTTTGGTTTTGAACACCCCTACGTACATGTATATATTTAAATATAAATTAAGCATATTTTTTATACATGAAAAAAAAAAAAAGCTTACATCACATATATTGCTTTATTTGAAGTATTATATATTTTGTTTCCAAAGGTAAGGTGGATTTCACTAGTTTGTGGGTTTATGTTGAGTATAGATATAATCAAGATGTGCCACTAGTGTCCTTCTTGTCAAACATTCTTGCTCTCCTCCTATTCCATCACAAGACTCATCATCCAATTCTACACTTGATACCTTGCTACCAACAATATCCTAATTCAAAACCCAAATAAAATAATAAACAACACAAGAAAATGATCAAATAAGATAAACTCAATTAAGAATAAATCACACCTCATGTAGAGAAGAGACAGCTTTAAATCCAAGATTAGGACGAGAGGCATAAGTTAAACTCAAGCTTAATAAAAGAGTTAAGGTGAAGAGGGTGCCTAATTTTGACATAGTGATGAGTTCACTTATTTTTATTCTTATCATTTAGATTCTTTGGGTTGTGTGGAAGACAAAGAGTGGACCCTTTTATATAGACAAAAATTGAGATTCATAGAGTATGTTACAAGTGTGTAAATGTCACAAACAATGTGTTCAAAGTTCAAAGCTTAAATTCTCATCTTTCATATTGTGTTGACTTTTGTTGCCACGGTTTTGTATCTACATAATGTAAGTACAAGACATATCCAAATGTATAAAATTTGATGTCGATCCCTTATACTTTAGTGGTGGGTGAATGTATGTCACATATTTATTATATGGATTTTTTTAATTTAAAAATATTTCTATTCAACTAAGTAGTGAAAGGAAAATGAGAAAGCAATAATAGAATTGTGTGTCAATATGTAAAGAATAGATCTATAGATCATTTTCATATAATAAACACCACCATTCTTAGAATTAATTTTTGTCTAAATTTTAATGCATCAAATGTGTTGCTCTTTACATCTATTTTGTTGATTGATGTACTTTGGAATTGTTATACAATTTGTTTCGGTTATTAAACTAAGTCCATTATATAATATTTACTTTCTACACAAATAATTACTTTGCTCTTAATCAACCATACCTATAACAATTAAATAATCACAGTAAAGTAAAGGAAAATTAAAAATATTTTATTTCATATATTATAGTTTTAGATTTATCTTAACTATAAATATATACTTGTAGAACTTATTATTTAACATATTTTTCCATATTTGTCATTGGCCATGATATTTTATAATTGTTTTTTTTTAATTTATAATTGCTTATTATGCAATAATTAGTTATATTTTTTTATTCTGTTGATTATTCTTTTCTAAGTATTGTTGTTTATCAGTTTTTTCTTTTTCTTTATCTTTCTCCGTTCTGAGTAGTTAGCATTAACAACAATAGCAATAGTAATAAAGACTAATTTTACAGTTTGTTTCTCAACGACGTTTGACATTTTTTTAGGACTCTTTAAATCACTCGTATCCCTTCTTAGCGTATTCATGCGAAATATTTAAAAATCCTTTGGTTTTGAAAATACATATTTGAAACAATATTTTTTTTCTACAAAATTTGACACAATTCATATATGAATCTCCGAAATTACCCTATTTTGAATATGCATATAAAAATCACCAATAATAAAAATACGTTAAGAAAATTCTTTTTTTTTTATCGAAGTAACAAACCCCAAATAGATGGGCCTTAGAAGGTGTGGCGGTAGAAATGTTTAAAACTAAGCCATTGGATTGACTTGACTCGCACAGATCAAAATAAAAATTGCCACCACATTTTATTGTTTCCAAAGGAATGAGAAAAGAGCGAATAACTCAAAAGAGGGGGAAGGATTCTAGGTAAGGGAGTTGGTTATGTAAAGGGAAGGTATTAGCACCCTAAACATCTACGGTACTCCGCAGGAACCTCTTTGAAAAATCTATATATTTAGCTATAATATTGTATAAAATAGATGGTGAAAGTGAGAAAAGAAGTATTTTTTATGATTTTTGTACCCGACGCAGTTGTGAACCTTTAGTGCCTACGTACCACCTTCCGTGCAATAGGGAATCAAGGTACACGTAGTTCCTCTTTAAAAAATTTGAAACAAGTGTGTTGGTTAATTTTATGAGATAAGACATCATCGTCATTGTCCATGTGGAAAACATACTTACTACCCACAATCATGAGAAAGGAGAACTTGTATCATCTCAAAGTGGAGGATATGGCTTGGATTTTGAAATCAACAATGCCTCACTCAACATCCAAGTGAAAAATATCTCACTTCACTATATATTGTAGAAGTATAGTTGTTTGCATCACTACAAGGATTGACAAAAGTCTAATCTTTTTTAGAAAAGTTTTAAAGCAAAAAGTTAAAGTGACAAAAATGGTTTGAATGAGATTAATTTACTTTTAGTCTTCTCACAAAAATGTCAAGGTATTATTAAGTTGATTAAAGTTTGTTTATGAAAATATTTTAAAAATACATGGACCTAAGTCCAAGTTTATTATGAAAGTGGTTCAAGTTTAGAAACATGTGTTTTCAAAAGGAGGAAGAAGATTTTTGAAATTAAAGAAGATGGGAGGAGAAGAAGGGATTATCCTAAAGCATAAGGTAAAAGCTAGGGAAAAGAATCGTCTAACCAAACTCAACACTTGACATTATGAGTCAGGATAAAGTTCCCATTCTTTGGATTGAAACCAAGCAAGGATGCTAAACCTCTTGAGAAAACCAAGTTTTAATTGCATGAAGTCTTCACAAAATTAGGCAGAGTAACGACTGTATTCAGATGAATTCATGATCACAGACAAAGCATGTAATCATAATAACCTGCACACAAAGCAAACAAACAACCCAATATCTTGGGATAAACCCCAAGAGCTCCAGGCAAAATATCAATTAAGGTCACAAGGTCTCCAACATAGGTCAAGGTTTCTATTCCTAAGTCCAAGAAGTCCATCACTCCATAATTCCAAGTTTTGTACCCCAAAATTTGCCCTCTCATTTACTAAGACTTTTCTCACAAGACTTCTTTGATTCAAGACAAGATCAGGGTTTGCTCAGCTCAGGACATCTCATCTTGCACTGATAACCCAAAATTAGGGTTTGAGTTTGCACAAGGATTTTTGGACCACCAATACTTCATGTGACTTTCATACATCATTTTGGACCCCTAAGATTGCTCATGTTAAGTTTCAAGCCTTGAACCATATTTTTGATCAGTCAATTGGACAGTTGACCTAAAAATCAGCTGTATTGGGGAAAAAGTCAATCATGGCCAATTTACAGTCAAACTTCATAATTTTTATCCACATCAACATTTTAGACTCATATGTACCATTTGATCAAGTTTGGATCACAACTCCTCAAGAAGTTTGATCAAATCATCAAAAGGGCAAAATTGTCAAAATTAGAGTTTTGATTGAGAAAGGGCAATTTCTGATTTTTAACCTAGCCAATGACCAATTGAGTTCAAGCATGATTTCAAGGGTTCAATGGCATCATCTTGACCTAATTACATAGTTCAAAAGATCTCAAGTTCATTGGATTGACAGATGAAATTTGCAGTCAACTGATCAAAAGTCAATTGTATACTGAAAAGTCAAACTTTGACTTTTTGGTCAAAATCAAGTACCAAGAGTCATAATTCATCAAGATATGTCAAAATATGAAACTTGTTCACCAAGAAAACCAAATTTGAAAATTAGGGTTTGAATTTGAAATTTTTCATAACTTAGAATTTTTCTAAGTATAAAAATTTTCTTAGTTTTTCTCAACTTTTCACCACTTTTTCACCATGATGCATTTTGATTCAAGAAAAGTTCCCAACATGAAAGTTGTAGTCCTCCATAAAATCTACAACTTTGATTCACAAACTTTTCCCTAAAGATACTTGGATCTCAAGTTATAAATTTGTGAATACATGCTCATGAACTAAATAACTTAGTAAAATTTTGCCCTAATTTAGGCAGGTTTTGGATCCAACTTCATGGCAACTTTTCACCTAGTTCTAAGAGGTATATCAAATTGCATTTCAAAGATGGATTATATAGCATATTGCAAGCTTTCAAAAGTTTCCAAGAACTCTCTAAGATCATTTTTGAGTAGAGAGAATCGAAGAGAGGAAGTTGACATTTTCTCACTTTTTGTTCATGCCATTTTCACATAGAATCAAGTTGCAAACCAAACCTATGATGATTGTTTCTTGCTTTACAGGTCCTAAACTTGCTATACACTCCTTAATTAAATGCATACTCAGTTGACAAAGCCTTTATCCTTGCTTTTGAAACTTTACACAAGTTGTAATTCCATTTTGGGCAAAAAGGCTTCATTGCCATTTTCATAAAGATGCACTTTTGCAACTTTGTCAAGTTGGAGCATTGGACATGTCCCCTTGATACAAGCAAACTACACAGCTCTCAAGCAATTTATACAAACTCATATCAGCCCTAAAGCAAGCTGGTACAAGCATGTGAGATTGGTCTTGTCAACTTTACTTCAAGTACACAAAAAATTGCAAAAGGGCTAAAGCTTGCACAGCTAGTAGGAAGCTGACTTGGTATCACTTCTATACTAATATGCAAATATTGTACAAGACATTGGAGGATTGGCTTGAACCTAAAACTCTCTAAAACTGAAAAACACCAAAAATCTTCCTAAGCATACAGTTTCTGCAAAAGCTCAGCCATCTCTCATTTGGCTCGTGCGTTTTGTGTTTAACTGGTTCAAACATCTCATACACTTGATACCTAGTCAATCCAAACCATCACCCTGGTTCTGTAACCTCTGTTTCATCATCTTCCATTTTCAACTTGGAAGCTTGCAGTTGGACTTGGTTAGGGAGTACCAGCCATCCTCAGAGCAAGATAAGGATTGGAATAGGTTCAGGGAAGCTCAAGGAAGCTCAAACAATCATCAAGCCTCTATTAAAGTCCCTACATTGCCATACACGATTCCAGCTGAAGGAGGTATTTTCTCAAACTCTATCTCTTTATACAGGCAACCTCAAGCCACAATTTATGAAGAAAAAATGTAGTTCTCATCATAACGAAGCTGTACATATCATTACTTTGCATTTATGTTACTTGTGCTAAGAGAATTTGAAGTTTGAAATCTCTGAAAAAATTAGGTCACGATTTAGGGATTCTAAAATTCTCTTTGATCTTTGATAGTTAGGTCACATAATTTATATGGTTGGAATCGTAAGCTCAAATGCCACATTTTTCATGTTATGAGTTTTTATTTTTATGCAAGCATAAGGAAGATACAGGTTTGAACTGGAATGGCGCGAGGGAGATGGACGAAGGACGGGGATGAAGTCAGTGGGCTTTTTGGCAGTGTGGCCTTTTTTTTTGCTAAACACACCCCTCTGACTTGCTATTGCACCCCCCTGACTAACTTTTTATATTTTTATATTTTTCTTCATATTTTTTTTATTTTATACTTTTGTTTATTTTTCTGAATGATAAAAAATCCTAAA